TTTCAAATACACTTAAGTTCAACAGCAAAAGTGAGTCCTTGATTTGGGGGTAAGATTTCTGCCAGAAGAATGACATTGTATATATATTTTCATCAAAATCAAGAGTGGACAATAATTTGTCTAGACTTGGAAGCATGAAATGTTCTTCAAGGTTAATTGATTAGCCTATTAAAATTAATTTGCTTCCTTGTTTATAAAGCAACAACCCATTAATGTGCTAAACACTCTCACACAGTCTGCAGTAAAGAGTAGAAAAAAACCCTGAAGTATGATATATGAAGGTCACTTGAACCAGTTTTTCCTAGCTTGTCTTCTACTTTGGTTCTTATATGTGAACTTAAGTTGCTATGTCTGGTTTTTCACACTTTGAATATATTTGCTTTTATTTTATTTTGAAAGTGAAGAGAAAGCTACTATACTGGGACACTGCATGGAACTGGTTCTAGCTACAGTTAAGATAGGCAGTTGCCTGTGGCTGTTGGTTACTTGGGCCAGGCATGGTGCTGATACCTGCTTGATCTGTGCTAGAAGAAGAGAGGAAGAGCAGCCTGTGCTGCCCTAACAGTTGATGTCTGCTTCTGGTTTTGAACTTTGGATGTCAAGGGATGTGTTGACGAATACCTGCATTACTCAAGACACCCCAATTTGTCTTTCTGTCCCGTTGCTGGTAGCAGAAGCTGTTAGTGTTTAATTAAGAGTCTGTTCCCAGGTTTCCTGACCTGGTCTCCTCTTTCCTTTTCATAGTGGGAGGATGTCAGCTCTGGCCCAAGCTTTGGTTTGGCTTGCTATGATTATGAGAGAGAGTAGTCAGCAGGACAGTATTAGTGTTGGGGATGAGATTTAGTCAATGCCAGTTCATTGGGCTAGTTTTTTGGGGAAGATAGTATGTTAGGAGTAGTCATTGTTGGCCAAGGGTGGTGATTAGGAGCCCATGTGTGATAATCTTAGTTCATAGGAATTTGGTGGAGGCCGTGGGGAAGGAGAAGTGTAATCACTGGAAGGACAGTTTTTAACATTGGAGGAGGTTTAGAGTATGTAAGTAATCAGAACTATGGGTTCTGATTCAGGCTTTTATCGTCTTCACAGGAAGACAATAGCGGTATGAGTACAGGTATTAGGGTGGATGACATTGCTTAGTTTTCAATAGGCCATTTGATAGGGTATTAGTTCTCTTCTCAAGCATGACTAAGGCATGATCTACTGGACAATGACACACTACCCAACTAACCCTTCCCACATCGTATCTCTAGTCGACAATAACAATCACAATAAAACTGGGACTAGTGCCATTCCACTTATGATTCCCAGAAATGCTTTAAGGCTCATCCCTAACCACTCGTCAATTACTATCAACAATAATGAAATTTCCCCCAGTGACCATTCTCTTCCTAATGTCTCACTCACTTAACCTAACTCCGCCAGTGCTATAGCCATCACCTCAGCAGCCCTAGAGGGACGAATAGGACTAAAATAAACACAAATTTGAAAAGTCCTAGCCTTCTCATCCATCTTACCAGTTAGGCTGAACAACCATTATCATTGTCTATAAACCCAACCTCACACTACTAACTATCCTCCCTTAATAAGCACCACTCAACACAACCAAGACTCTAAAACTATCACCAAAAATAACCACACGAGCAAAAGCCCCTACATTGTATGCAACCATTTTTCTTCATAACAGGAATTCCCCCACTATTAGTTTTCCTGTCTGAATGACTCTTTATCCAAGAGCTCACTAATCAAGAAATAACCACAGCATTCACAGTCATCACCCTACTATCACTACTAGGATTATTCTTTTACCATTGCCTCAAATAATTATATGCATAACATTATCTACATACATCAACCTATCAAATCAAATTCACCACCTTTGCATCTCAGCTAATGACTGAGAGACCTCTCAATCAGGGGATTTGATTCTTTGTGTAACAGAATATACAGAATTTAACATAAATTGATTATGATTTTATTTCTGAAGTAGAAAAGAGCATAGTTTACTATTCTACTTTAAAAAAGTAAATAAAAGGATCTCTCAGATTCTTCTGCCTTTAAAAGTAACACAGTAGGTACTTCACTTTCCTTTGACTACGGTTTTCAAAAGATTGTAATACTTGCTGCAATATTTTTTAATCCTTCTTTTAAACTATGTCAATTTGGAGGCTGATTGCTGGGTTTTAATCTTTGAGTCTGCCTTCAGATTTTTAAAATTGCTTCATTTCATCATCATATTTAAGCTCTTGTTATGTTATTCGAAGCAGACCTACTTGATCATTAGAATGTGATTCAATAATCTGAAATATATTCTAAAGCTGTTGCAGTAAAAGTGGTACACTATTCAAGTTTAATTTGAAATTACAGAGCATATAAGAGTCTAGTCCATTTTAATATTACAGACACATTCTTCTAGTGAAGAAAGGGCAATTTTTTTTACTCCAGTTAACTTTTGTCTATTTTGTGAAACATTTCTGTTTCTGAAGTTTTATCCTGAGTCTCTCTGTCTCCTTTGCACAGCTCATCTGAGTGTTTTTTCTAAAATGAGGTAGTTGCATCACTGCAATCAACAGGATGGTAGGAAAGTAAATTGTCAGCTCAATAATTATCTAAGAGCTATCAACATATTAAACACAACAGATCTCAAACAAACAAAAAGGGTTTCTGGAATTGGTCAGAACAGTTCTTCTGAAGACCCCCATACTAAAAAGAGAGGACAGGATATTTTGTAAAACAAAGAAAGAAACCAGGGAAGACAGCTGCATTCCAGAAATGAAAAAAAAAAGTCTCCTCAGAAGAAGAGTTAACCTTCTGATCATAACAGGAAGGATTGCCTCAGATGCAGCTTTGTGAGACCTTATCGAGTAGTATTTCAGAGGTGCTGAAAGATTGCATGGGATGACTAGAAGGGAGGGACAACCAGATGAACTTGAAAATTTGACTTGGACAAATTGTTTCCAAATTGTGGAAAGCTCAAGAAAGAAAGAAAACGGAAGTTCTAGAAACAACTGCAGGAAAATTATGGTTTACATCTTTTTTGCAGCAAGAAATCTTATTTTATAGGAATATGGGGACCTCTGCGACATACAAAGGATGGTTTGTGTGATCTGATAATCCTACCATAATAGTAAGGAATTCAGTCCATACATGACTAAAGTGGCCTTTGAACCAACCCTGAAATTCAGTGGGGATAACTGGCAGTTATGGTATCATATCATAATAGTTAAAAAGATTTTCTAGATGTATTTATATAAGAAATATAGGAGAACTGTATAATGAAAAAGTTTAGAAAGATAGTGATGCTGTTTTTAAAGAAAAGACATTATGGTTGACTTTACTAAAAGGTTGTTGGTTGGCTCTTATTCATGTGACACTTAAAAGCATTAGTTAAACTATGTTGAACAAAACAAAAGAAACAAAAACCAACCAAGCAAACAAAAAAAGATAGTGCTGCTGCCTGTATCAAAGGTACTATTATGTGCTATAAAGAATGAAATATGGATGGAAAGCTCTTATCCTATTCATTTGAGAGTAATAAGTTAGTCCTTACACATATATTTGTAATATATACAAACAGCTACTTTCATTAAGATTTGATTTCAACATGCGTGACATCTCAAATAGCCAGAAAATTCTTCAGATTTTCTAAAAATGATAGGGTTGTTTTACTTCCTTAGAACTATTACAGCCAAATTGCAAGTTGGATATATGTAATCGTTAGAGGCAGATGGCAAAATTCCAAAAGTTTGGGTTTCAGTTTTTTTAGGGGCATTTAGATGTAGCAGATATTTCAAATTTGTGTTTGGAATTAAAGAAGTGAATGTTTCCTTCCAAGCTGGTGATCTTGAATTAAATGGAACATTTGCCATCTGTAACAAAGGAAAGATGGGAAGATGCTAAAGATAGACATAAGATCATAGGATTAATTTAGGGTGGAAGAGATCTTGGAATGTTATGTAGTCCATCCTACTTCTTAAAGTGAGACTCATCTCAAAACTGGATCATGTTCCTCAGAGTCTGAGTCAGGTCAGGTTTAGAAATCTCCAAGGCTATGACGACAGTTTTTTTCAGCCTCGTTGAGAAAGGTTTAAGGATCCCAAAATTGGAAATTGAGTTAGGAATCAGGTTCAATATTCAGATAAGATGTACTGACAGAGGCAGCTGAAGGAGTATATGAAAGAGGCTCGTTGCAGTTTGGAAGCTTTTTAATTGGAGATGCTCTGACTTGTGCTTATGAGGCTGAGAAGGAAAGCAGAAGGTGCAAGAATTGATCCATGGTGTTTTCTGTATCTCATAGTCTTAAATCAATGAATTCCATAGTTGTTCACACACTTAGAGAAAAGAGCAGGATTACACCTGTTAACCGACAATAAAAAGCTGATGTTGACAGCTTTTTATTAGGTTTATAATCAAATTACATGTTTCAGAATAGTATGTGGAAGTTCTTTTTAATTTCTCCATTCACAGCTGTTGAAATATAAGGTAGTAAAGATAGCAGTGGTTACAAAAAAGAAAGTAAACACTCTCTGGAAGCTGGAAACCATGAGAAGAGAATGTAAGTTCTGCAGTCCTGAGTGAAATTCTCTTTCTATTGATGCTGGGGTGATATATCTTTCTACCAAGTCACCAAACTGTGTGACAGGAAGGTTTGTTTGGAAAGAGACATATTTTAGAATTGTGAGGGCAGACAGAGGAGAGGGAGTGTGTAGAAAATACCTTCCTTTGCACTGTTCAGGCTGGGAGTAGTTAAGTGATAATGTGTGTTTTTTGGTAATGTGCTTCTCTGTGGCATGGGGCACTGTGTGGTGTGACTGGGAGCACAAGTTGCACAAGTTGGACCAGGCCTTAGGCAGATCTGGGCCTACAAGACTCAGTTCAGTCTAATCTGCATTAAAACTCCATTTTTTGATGCCAAGACAGTGTTACTGAATACCTTCTTTCTAAACCTCTTTGGATGCCAGTGCTCACTTAAGTGTGGTGCTGTGAATTGGCAGGCAGTTTGCTCTGAATTTGCTCAGGATGGCAGGATGAGAGAGCACTGAAAAGTAAGTGATATGTAAACAGTAGGTCATTTGCACCTCTGGTGTATTTGAAGATGCTTGTACGTTCTATTTCCTCACATTTGTGTCAGAGTGCTGCCTGCCTTAGTGTGTGTCATCCATCCCCACGGAGGGCCTGCTGGAGGTTGAAGTTACAGTTACTACTTGGAGGAAGAGAAAATAATATACTTAAGACTGGAAGTACTTATCTGGAATTTATTGTATTATATTACTTATTGTATATTTTAAGGGCTCGAGAAGCTTGGATCAAGTAACATTCTTACAAGATGTTTGTAAATACTTTGGTGTCTTTGAAACTCAGATGGGCTTAGTAAGGAACTATTTGTATTTGAAATCTACAGTACAGAAAGTCTGTTTGTCACATGTTAGCCAAAGCAATGAACTGTAAAGCAACTTCATGTAATGTCAAATAGTCTACCTTAGCAACTGTTCTCTTATTTTTTAATTTTTTTTCACTGACAGAGAGAATAAACGTTCTCCATAGAAGCAAGAATATTGACGGGCTGAAAACTTGTTCCTCGGCCATCCAAAACTGGAAGTCTTTTGTGAGGTTTCTTGTCTTTATTTCTGATGTAGTCTTCACTTTTGTTGGACAGTTTCAAAGCAGCAGTTGTCTGTTCAAAGAAAAACAAGTTATTGTGTCAGCTACCTCAGCTGAACCAATAGGTTCAGTGCAGAACTGAGGCAGATAAAGAGGGGTTCAGTCTGCACAAAGCTCAGTCAATGAGGACAACACAGGTATAATTACATAACAGAATGCAGGATGTTATCAGTATTCAGCACAAGATAAGATCAAAGGGCCCAGAGAAAAACATGTTGACGGGAAATGAAATTTACTTTTTATCTTTCCTTATCAGTACAATAGTGTTGGCATTTGGCCCTATCTTTCCTCAAGGTGAGTGCAACCTGCACTTGTTAGATTTCTTGCAATAAGAATTGTGAACTGGAGAGGTATGTCAGATCTGATATGAAGGCTGGGCATGATAAACATAAACTTAGATGAAACAGTCTAACTTGGTTATGAAAAGTTATTATTATCGAAAATACTAATTCTTATATGAATCTAGAGGACTGGGCTGGCATCTCCTGCATATGAAATAAATCTCAGAGAAACAGCATTCTACTGACTAGACTGAATGGTCTTATTAGTTGTTTCTTAGATGGTTCAAATCTTTGTTTCTCATTGCACAAAAATAACATTTTTTGATATTGTAAAGTCGGGTCCTCAAAAGTTAGCTGGATCAAAGTTACCCTTAGAGATTTCACCATGTTTCTATTTATTCCATAGTCTTGTGTTAAGAGGAAGTATCTAACCCTAGTCTAACCTTCTGTTTGTTTTCTTTTCATTCCTCAGCCCTTTGGCAGGTGAACAAAAAAGGATGTTGCATGCCTCATGAGCAGCTATTAGGTAATTTCTTTTTTTTTTCAGGGTGTATACTTTAATTAATTACTGAATAACATTCAAATGCTGTTTTGAAGACAGTTGATGCAAATCTTCTTTTGAGTATGTGGGTTCACCCTAAAACACCAGTAAATCTCAAAATTCCTGAAAGTTCAGGGGATATTGTCATTCCCATTTTATAAGACTGAGGCACAAAGGCAGTTGAAACTTCAATAATCGAGATGTGCAGTATGGTTTTCAGAGTACTTAACATTATGTAGCAGTTACCGTATAAAAACTACAATTAAATATTGCTTTCAGTTGTAGGTTGGAGTACTTGGTTCTTCTTTAGTTCAAATCTCAAAGAAAGACAACTCTAGAAAATTTAAAGTCTACAGGAAGAGATCAACTACTCAGTAAATGGTTTGTGTACTTGGAATTACTCTGTAAAACTCTATGATGGAGCAGCAGGAAAATTTCTGATCTTCTAATCACTGAAATTCCTAATCTTCTCCTTTTCTAATTAGAATCCCATTTCATAATTTTACATTTAATTTTCTTTATCTCTTTACAGCACGACACTTTTTCTTTCTCACAAGTACTGAATCGGAGAGATTTAGTGCAAAAGTAAAATACAGTCATGCAAATATTTTATGGTTTCTTTCTAATTCATCAGAGTATTTGGAGGACAGAAGGGTTGAGACAACCCAGATAAAGCGAAAATACAGACTATGTAACACTTCTGTAAATTAAGCTGTAAGACCATACGTAGTATGTTTGTAAGTTTAGAAAACTTGTAAATTGTAGCCTGGAGAGAGCAGGGACAACTTGGAAGAGCAGAAGGCAAAGTAGAGGTGATCTGAGAACTATGTGCTCTACATGTATCCCTGATGCTGACACTGTACCACAGGCCGGTCTGTGAATACAAGACAGGGGTACCTGTGTGTATCAATCAGTTATTGAACAATTTAAGGTTTTCTGAGTGACAATGCATGTGTGCCAAGTTGAACAAACATGGCATAACTACATTTTTGTATTACACTGTGATTGGTGCTGATCCCATCCAGTGTAAGTAGGGAATAGCTCCACTAACTTAGAAACATTAAAGTGTTTAGAGGTTTTCTGAGATGTGGGTCAGGCTCTGTGTCTTTATCCTATTTGGAGCTCTTGTTACATTACTCTTAATGTATTTAAGCCTTCAAAAGTTTTTATGAACATCCCTTGACCTACTCCACCATAATATGATGAGCCTCTCTTTTGTAAGGTCTATTTCTGCACAGAATGAAGCTCACTTGTTACTGCTGTGATTTGGGAATTTGTGCTTCTCCCTGTGTACATCAGCATCTGGGACAAGTGTACTAGGCATTGGGGAACCACCTCAGCATTTATCTGTTTAGAAATTTATCACATTCTGTGGCAAATGCACACTTCTATCTTATTAATTATTTACACTTAGATAACTCAATTATTTAGGGAAAGAGTGGTTCAGCTCTTTTAGTGTGTAAATATTAAATATGTTTTTATGTAGCAGCCATTAATTTGGCAATGCAGGAATGTGTACAGTTGTGTTTTGTTTTCTACCTGTGTACCTGTGTTGCTGAGTTGTGTGTTTCTTTTTGCATAAGAGACATATCAGACACTCTGGACCTGGATGTGACTCATAAAAGGCTTTGTTTTATTTCAGACATGGAGAGTACACTGAATACTGATGTTTCTGTACTGCAACCACTGCACTTAAAAAACTCCTGTTGAAGTGAAAAGAATTTTGAATTCAAGTTTTTGTTCTGAGGTCTGCTATTTAGTTGTTCTTTGACTTGTTTGAAGTCAAGAATTTTAAATATTGTCTTGGTTTTGAGATTTATATTCTGTTGCAGATAAACTGATGCTGGACAATGTAGCTGGTTTTGAACAGCCCGACATTTAAAGATATTGCACTTTAGTTCATAACTTAATTTGTAATTAAAACAGGCTTGTTTGTGAAGCCAATTCAAATTATAATTCTGGCTCAGAAATTTTAAGGGTGTTTTGGTGGGACACTGTGACTCAGGTGTATAGTTATAAAAAAGAAAAACAGAAACATAATGAAAAATTTTAGACAAGGTACTGAGTAAAGGATTTTATTTTTGTGTACTGAACAAGATATAACAAAATGTGAAAGCTAGTACTAAAAGCTGTAACATGGAAGTATTAAATAAAGAATGAGTGTTAAATTATATCACACATTAAATGTTTCATTTATCTCATAAGCACAATAATGGTAAGTCCTTTAATTTTTAAGATCCTCAGCTGGAGTTCTTGGCATAGTACTACCGAGAGGCAAAGCCTGAATGAGGTTGGAATACTTTTAAATACCAGCCTCAAAAGAAAGCAAAAACTAAAGACATCTTACTTGTCGGTCTGTCTCAGCAGTTTTTGTTGATCCCAGAATCAAATGACAGAAAATACTCAGGGCCTTATGTACACTACAAAAGTGAGGTACCATGGTTGATGATGTAAGAGAGGAACCTATCTGTTTTTCTTTCAACACAGCTGTTACTTGAGATGGCTTCTAATCATGTGGTAAAGTCCTCACTATCAGATAGGGAAAAAAAAGGTGTGATAATATCCTGAGTGTTAAATTCAGATTTTGTAACACTGGTTGTTAGGGAGCTGTTGCAGTGAAGAAGACCAAGGCAATTACTTATCCTTCACCTTCCCCATAGTGTGCCTTGCATAAGACTAAGTCATCAGCAAGTAGAGCCAGCCTGCTTAAAATCAGCTGTTTGGAGGATGTTCCTATGACACCAAAGCTGAAGTCTGCATCTGATGTAAGTGCCTTCCCACAAGGGCTTTTTCAGCCAGAGCACCCACACTGAGTTTTTCCTCGTGGACATTTTTAAATCAATCTATGTTTGCCTCAAAGGTAGAACCTGACCAGACAGATCTGTGCCAAGCACGTGCTACAGGTGTCTTCACAGCAAGCCTATATTTAAGCTATTTCCTAGGGGAAATGCAGCATACAGTGACTGGCACAGCTTAGGAAGAGGATGAAGTGCTGGAAACCTTCAAGCATCTAACAAAGGTTTGGAGCACTTTAGTTGTGCACATTGAGTGGCAATTCCGGTTTTGTTTCCTCCAAGAGGAAGGTACTTTGTATGCACCCAGGCTCCTCTGTGGTTTGGCCTGGCATTTAAAAACAGGATGTGTGGGGGAATTTGCTTTGAAACTGCTCCCCTGCCCCAAGCCATATTGCTTCAGGCTGGGAGAGGCAGGTTTACCTGTCAAATTCACATTGTGAAAATGCTGCATCATGTTCTAATTGCTATTAGGGAAATTAATTATCAATAGTTCAGATTTAGACCTAATTAGAGGTTGGTCAAGTAGCATTTATTGTTCCTTTTTTGTGGTATAGTAATATTTGTGGTCTGCATCATAAAGCTTCAAGTCATTTTTCTCTCTGCAGAGTGTAGCAGAATGATCAGGAAAGAAGCCAGAACTCTCTTTCATGTTACTGAGAAGTAGTGAGGACAATTTTTACAGGCTTATATTATAAGCCTTTCCTTTGAGACCCATAGGAAACAAAACAATATTTTTACCATCACTGTGTCCTATCATAGAGGGCCTTTTTCTTTTCAGTTTATGTTCTTTTCTTTTCTTTTTAGTTTATATATTTTTAGGGTCCTGTAGATGATGTAGATGCAGAAACTTCTTAAAGGAGCTGTTAACTACAGTTCTTCCTAGTCAACAGGGGAGTATTAAGGAACAGAGGGTTAGGGGATGATGTTCACTGGATGTGCTGTTGAAAGTTAGAGTACTTCTTTTCATGTGTCAAAAAATATGATTCTAAGGTGCTATAGTTTAACCTCAACCATTGCCTAAGCCTAACACCAGCTTGCTCACTGTCCTGCCAGCACAGTGGGATGGGACACAGGATTGGAAAAGTGAGGAAAAAAAATCATAGGTTGAGATAAAGACAGTTTAATAGGTAAAGCAAAAGCACTCACACAAACAAAGCAAAACTTCCTATGGGCAGGCAGGTGTTCAGCCATCTCCAGAAAAAACAGGCTCCATCAAACTTCGTGATAACTTTGAAAGACAAATGCCATCATTCAGATCATCCTCCTCTTCCTTCTTCCCCCAGCTTTATAAGCTGAGCATAACCTTTACAGTCTGGAATATTCCCTTGGCCCATCGGGGTCAGCTGTCCTGGCTCTGTCCCCTTCCAGATTCTTGTGCACCCCCAGCCTGCTCAGTGGTGGGGTGGGGTGAGGTGAAGAAGAGGCATTGGCACTGTGTAAGCCCTGAACAGCAATAAGGAAAACATTCCTATGTTATGAACGCTGTTTTCAGCACAAATTAAAAACATAGCCCCATAGTAGCTGCTATGCAAAAATTAACTCTATCCCAGCCAAAACCAGTACATAAGGTAATACTACATTGTGTTTGTTGTGCCCTGTGGGAGGAGGTGTAAGCAGTCATGTGTACCAAACACTGTTGTTCAGGGCCTCTGAGATTTTATAAAACTTGACAAGGTAAAAAGTATTGTAAATTTTATAGTATAGCAATATATCTTAGCCTAAGGATGGAAAGCCTGAGTTAAGAATTAAATCAACAGCCCACCTGAAGTGCATGTACACTAATGCACACAGTATGGGCAACAAACAAGAGGAGCTGGAAGCTACTGAGCAGCAGGAAGGTTATGATGTAGTCACCATCACAGAAACGTGGTGGGATGACTCGCATGACTGGAGTGTTGCCATGGATGGCTACAAGCTCTTCAGACAGAACAGGCAGGGTAGGAGAGGTGGAGGGGTGGCTTTATATGTTAGAGAGTCTCTTGACTCTGTTGAACTTGAGATCAGCAACGATAAGGTTGAGTGCCTGTGGACCAGAATCAGGGGGAAGGCCAACAAGGCCGACATCATCATAGGTGTCTGTTACAGACCGCCCAACCAGGATGACAAAGGGGATGAAATATTCTACAAGCAGCTGGCGGATGTCTCGAAATCGTCAGCCCTTGTCCTTGTGGGTGACTTTAACCTGCCGGATATCTGCTGGGAGCTCAATACTGCAGAGAAGAGGCAGTCTAGGAATTTCCTGGAGTGTATAGGGGACAATGTCCTTCATCAACTGGTAAATGAACCTACCAGGGGTAAGGCCCCGCTAGACCTGCTGTTTACAAACAGAGAAGGGCTGTTGGGAGATGTAGTGGTTGAAGGCCGCCTGGGAAATAGTGACCATGAAATAATAGAATTTTCAATACTCAGAGATTCAAGGAGAAACAACAATAAAACCTCTACGCTGGACTTCCGGAGGGCAGATTTTGACCTATTCAGAAGTCTAGTCCAGAGCATACCCTGGGAAACAACCCTTGAAAACAAGGGGGTCCAGGAGGCATGGATGTGCTTCAAGTAGGAAGTTTTGAGTGCACAGGAACAGGCTGTACTGGTGTGCCAAAAGGCAAGCCGGTGGGGAAGATAACCAGCTTGGTTAAACAGGGAGATTCTGAAGGAAATCAGGGATAAAAAGAGAGTTTACCGACTGTGGAAGAAAGGGCTGGCTACTTACGAAGAATTCAGGAAGACAGCTAGATCATGCAGAAAGAAAATCAGGGATACAAAAGCGCAATTTGCAGTTAAATTAGCCACTTCTGTTAGGGATAACAAAAAGTCCTTCTATAAATAGTATAGTATAGTATGACCAGTCTTCGCGAACGAAGATTTGGGAAAGGTCATTACGTTTCAAGCCTGCGCAGTGGATTTTTTAGGTGAGACACAGTGTGCGCTGAACTGAGCCCACCCTTTAATCCTGAGGTTCAACTGCCGGGGCTGAGCGAAGCTCAGACAGTGGCAGCGAGGTCCTCGGGACGTAGGTTTGTTTAGAGTGACCTTCTCTTAGATGGATGGCCTTACTGGGCTGACGAGCTCCATCTGCCCGGGGAAGTCCCCTGACCGGGAATCGAACCCGGGCCGCGGTGGTGATTCTTAATAACAAAAGGAGGGGCAAAGAAAACCTCCATTCTTTGAGGGACTTGGAGGGAAACATAGTTAATAGAGATGAGGAGAAGGCTGAAGTACTTAACACCTACTTTGCCTCAGTTTTTACCAGTAGGACAGGTAGCCCTCAAGGCAACTGGCCTCTGGAGCTGGTAGACAGAGATAGGAAACCAAATAGTCCCCTTGTATTCCAGGAGGAAATAGTTAGTGACTTACTGAGTCATCTGGATCCTCACAAGTCTATGGGACCAGACGGGATCCATCCTAGGGTAATGAGGGAGCTGGCAGAAGAGCTTGCCAAGCCGCTCTCCATCATCTTCCAACAATCCTGGCTCACTGGGGAGGCCCCAGATGACTGGAAGTTGGCAAATATCACCCCAATCCATAAAAAAGGCTGCAAGGCTGACCCGGGTAACTACAGGCCTGTCAGCCTGACCTCGGTGCCTGGCAGAGTTATGGAGCAGATTATCCTGTGTGAAATCACACAGCAGCTACAGGATGGACAAGGGATCAGACCCAGCCAACATGGGTTTAGGAGGGGCAGATCCTGTTTGACCAACCTGATCTCCTTTTATGATCAGGTGACCCACCTGGTGGATGAGGGAAAGGTTGTGGATGTGGTCTATCTGGACTTCAGCAAAGCCTTTGACATTGTCTCCCATAGCATACTCCTGGAAAAGCTGGCTGCCCATGGCTTGGACAGGGGCACTCTGTGCTGGGTCAGGAACTGGCTGGAGGGCCAGACCCAGAGAGTGCTGGTGAAAGGAGCTGCATCCAGTTGGCGGCCGGTCACCAGTGGTGTTCCCCAGGTGCTGGGCCCAGTCCTCTTTAACATTTTTATCGATGATTTAGATGAGGGGATTGAGTCCATCATCAGCAAATTTGCTGATGACACCAAATTGGGAGGGAGTGTCGACCTGCCGGAAGGCAGGAGGGCTCTGCAGAGGGACCTGGATAGGCTGGAGAGATGGGCCGACTCCAATGGAATGAAGTTCAACAAGGCCAAGTGCCGGGTCCTGCACTTTGGCCACAACAACCCCATGCAGCGCTACAGGCTGGGCACAGAGTGGCTGGAGAGCAGCCAGGTGGAAAGGGACCTGGGGGTGCTGATTGACAGGAGGCTGAACATGAGCCAGCAGTGTGCCCAGGTGGCCAAGAAGGCCAATGGCATCCTGGCCTGGATCAGGAACAGTGTGGCCAGCAGAAGCAGGGAAGTGATCCTTCCCCTGTACTCTGCATT